TATGGTCTCCCACAGTATTCTTGCCAGCAAGTTAAAGAAGTTTGGGCTGGATGAATGGACTATAAGGTGGATAGAAAGCTGGCTAGATCATCGGGCTCAACGGGTAGTGATCAATGGCTCCATGTCTAGTTGGCAGCCGGTATCAAGCGGAGTGCCCCAAGGGTCAGTCCTGGGGCCGGTTTTGTTCAATATCTTCATAAATGATCTGGAGGATGGTGTGGATTGCACCCTCAGTAAATTTGCAGATGACATTAAACTGAGAGGAGAGGTAGATATGCTGGAGGGTAGGGATAGGATACAGACAGACCTAAACAAATTGGAGGATTGGGCCAAAAGAAATCTGATGAGGTTCAACAAGGACAAGTGCAGAGTCCTGCACTTAGGATGGAAGAATCCCATGCACCACTACAGACTAGGGACCGAGTAGCTAGGCAGCAGTTCTGCAAAAAAGGACCTAGGGGTTACAGTGGACGAGAAGCTGGATATGAGTCAAAATATGAGTCTTGTTGCCAAGAAGGCCAATGGCATTTTGGGCTGTATAAGTAGGAGCATTGCCAGCAGATCAAGGGACATGATCATTCCCCTCTATTCAGCATTGTTGAGGCCTCATCTGGAGTACTGTGTCCAGTTTTGGGCCCCACACTACAAGAAGGATGTGGAAAAATTGGAAAGAGTCCAGCGGAGGGCAACAAAAATTATCAGGCTGCTGGAGCACATAACTTACGAGGAGAGGCTGAGGGAACTGGGATTATTTAGTCTGCAGAAGAGAAGAATGAGGGGGGATTTGATAGCTGCTTTCAACTACGTGAAAGGGGGTTCCAAAGAGGATAGATCTAGACTGTTCTCAGTGGCAGCAGATGACAGAACAAGGAGTAATGGTCTCAAGTTGCAGTGGGGGAGGTTTAGGTTGGATATTAGGAAAAACGTTTTCACTAGGAGGGTGGTGAAGCACTGGAATGGATTCCCTAGGGAGGTGGTAGAATCTTCTTCCTTAGATGTTTTTAAGATGAGGCTTGACAAAGCCCTAGCTGGGATGATTTAGTTGGGGACTGGTCCTGCTTTGAGCAGGAGGTTGGACTAGATGACCTCCTGACGTCCCTTCCAATATTCTATGATATTCTATGATTCTATTAAAGTAAATAAGGAAATGTTATTTATTCCTTCTCATAACACAAGAACTAGGGGCCACCAAATGAAATTAATAGACAGCAGGTTTAAAACAAATAAAAGAAAGTATTTTTTCGCACACTGCACAGTCAACCTGTGGAATTCCTTGCCACAGGATGTTGTGAAGGCCAAGACTAAAATAGGGTTCAAAAAAGAACTAGATAAATTCATGGAGGATAGATCCATCAATGGCTATTAGCTAGCATGGGCAGCAATGGTGTCCCTAGCCTCTGTTTGCCAGAAGTTGGGAATGGGTGACAGAGGATGGATCACTTGGTGGTGACCACTGTCGGAAGACAGGATACTGCATGAGATGGACCTTTGGTCTGACCCAGTATGGCCGTTCTTATGTTTATCCTCCTTCATCTGTCAGCTACCTTTGACATCATCAGCCACATTCCTCTTCTTGAAATCTTCTCCCTCCTGGGCTGCCATGACTCTGTCTTCTCCTGGTTCTCCTCCTACCTCTCTAATTGTTCCTTTGGTGTGTCCTCTGGAGGGTTCTCCTTGTCCCCCTCCAGCTTTCTATGGGGGTTCTACAGGGATCCATCCTAGGTCCCCTTCTCTTCTCCCTCTAACACTTACCTCTGGGCGATCTCCTTCACAAACACAAGTTCAGCTGTTATCTCTGACAATGACTCACAGACCAATCTCTCTACTCCAGACCTGCCTCCTTTCTGTCCGCACTACAGTCTTGGCCGGTCTCTCTGATATTTCCTCATGGATGTCTAGCCGTTGGCTCAAGCTAAACATGGCTAAAGCAGAGTTCTTAATATCCCCCCACAAGCCCTTCTCACTACCTCCCTTCTCTGTCACTGTGGACAACGCCACCATCCTGCCTGTCACCCAGGCCTGTCACCTGGGCACCATCTTCAACTCAGACTTCTCTCTAGACCCTCCCATCCAGGCTGTGTCTAAGTCTTGCTGATTCTTGCTACAGAACATCCCTAAAATATGACCTTTCCTATCCAGCCACACAGCTAAAACACTCAGCAACTCACATCTTGTTTACTACAACCTCCTCTTCTCCAGTCTTGGCAAATGCACTCTTGCACTGCTCATATGTATTCAGAATGCTGCTGTAAAGATCATTCTCGTAGCTCATCACTTTGGCCCCAGCACCCCGCTCTTTGCATCCCTCTGCTGGCTCCCCCTTTTCTATGGTGTCAAACATGAGCTACTTGTCTTTACTTTCACGGCCGTTCCCCACCCTGCCTGTATCTCTCCTTCAATACGGAAAGGTCAACTCCCACCTTCCATCGGCCCATGACGTGGCCTCCATCGCCACTTGTTAACTTTTCAAACAAGCACCTTTGTGCTTTCTCCCATCCTGCCCCTCATGCATTAACACCCTCCTTTGCCATCAGGCATACAAAAAACTTGACAGTGGTTAGGCAGTTGGTGAGGTGAGACCGCTGCCCATCACGCTGACCGTACTGTCTCACTGGTTCTTCGTGCTCCCTATATGTCTGTCCATATCCATCTGTTGTCTCTTATCTGATTCTGAGATCATAAGCTCTACGGGGCAGAGACCAGCTTTTTGTTCTGTGTTCATACGGCACCTAGCACCATGGGGCCTGATCCAGGCCTCGGGCTCTGGAGTGCTACCGCAGGACACTTAATAAGTCCTAATCATAATGTACACTGATGAAACTCCATTGCCTTCACTGGGGTTCCACCTGATTTACACAGGGTGTAAGGGAGATCTGTGTTTCTCCAGGGGCTCAGACCAGTGACTCACCCCTAACAAAAGGTTAGGAAGGGAAGGAGAAAGGCCTTCTTGAAAACACCGTGTGGGCATGTGTTGTCTATGTGCTTGTGTACAAGTATGGTGAAATATACTTACGGTGCTACACGGTTAGCTCATTTTACAGCTCAGGGTCTGTCTACACCTGGAACTGAGGGGGTAATTCCCAGCTCGAGGAGATATACCCGCTCTAGCTCATATCGAGCTAATGGGCTAAAGATAGAGCATAGCTGCAGCAGTATGAGCTGCAGGATAGGCTAACCTCGCCAGGTACGTACCCATCCGAGACCCTGGGCACATCCTCGGGGCAGCTAACCCTTCCCACCCCTATATTCTATTTTTAGTGCAAGTACGTTCAAAGCCCCAGCTCGAAGTGCGCACATACCATGTCAGACACTGGAAATCTTATTCTTCGAAGAACCAGTTGTGCAATCTAGCCATGACAATGCTGGGTGTCCGAGCACGCCCCTTTTACGAAACACGTTGGTAACAATGGACCAGAAAGTTCCTCTTCAAGAAAACCCTGCCCACGGCAGAGACAGAAAAGCACATATTGTCCAGGTGAGGAGAGAAACGGAGTGGCGAAAGGCAGGGTCTGGGTCTCAGGAGCTTTGCTAAGATGCTACACGTAGGGCTGTGCAAATAACAGATTCTTCCATTCTCTGGCAACTTTGCAAAATTAAAGCAAAAACCGTTTGGGATCCACCCAAAACTGACATTTTTTTTTAAATTTTCAGCAAATCAAAAAAGTTAGAAAAAAATTGTTTTGGGCAAAATGTTTCACTTCCATTTTGAGCATTTTTAAGGTTTTCAATTTGTTTAATAAAATTGAAGGGAATTTCCGACAACAATTTGTTTTCAAACCAAAACACTGAGATGACTCATTTTGATAATGTCGAAACAAAATATTTCAATTTTTTGAGATGTTTCCAGTTGGTTGGCCAGTTGGGTTTGGTTTCAACCAAACCAATTTGGTGACTTCACTCTGGATTCGTGAGACATTTCAGTATCCCCGAGTCTGTATTTTTCTGGAAAAAAGCTTTGGTTGAAAAATTACCCAGGGGCACGAGGAGGACTGGAGTGAATGACTTGAGGATAGCAAGATACAAGCCCTTTACCTTGTGTGTGGTGACCTCCTTCAAGCCGTTTGGTCAGAACCGCCAGGAAAAGAATTCACATTCTCCTGTGCAGCTTTACAGGGCAATTTTCAGAGCAGTCTTCTGGAACGTGCAGCAGGGAACTGGCGTTAAGCACAGAGTGGTCACGCAAACAAATCCGATATCAAATGATACCAGAACATCCTGATATCAAGGACGGTACAAAAACATTCCCCAAGGATAACAGGAACACACTGATCCTTCTAAAAGATAAGGTCAAGTGCTGAGCATGTGCTGTGAGATGTCGAGCCCCTTAATCTCCCAGGGAAGGGAATGGGAATTGGGGGAGCTCAAACCTTCCAAGATTGGGCCGCTATCACGGTGGGGCAGCTAGATTGTACACCACACATGCTAGAAATAACACAAGTGATGGATCTATCGAGTAGGTGGGTATTTTATAAGAATTGATTTTAAATAATGGATTGAACCCAGTCCAGTCTGAAAATAAACATTTCACTTCTCTGCCCCGCCCCCCAACTAGATTTTACATCTAATTTTAAGCCGATTTCTTTTCATTTAAAAAAAAATAGAATTAAAAACATTTTTCCCACAGCTCCACTGCGAGCCCAGTCCCTCCCGCTGACCAGTGCTGCGCAAGGTTTGAAACCACACACTGGAGAGATCGCTGCAGTTCGCGCTTGCAGAAACACGAATGACACATTTTCTTCAGTTTTTCCCTGTGATGTTGAAATCAAATTGATGAGGAAGAACTTGAGGCCTTGGCCCTTCGGCCCTTCACACAAACTATTCAGGGATTTCCTCCATTGCGGGGACTGCTTCGCTTTTCCACAAATAGCACAATTGCACCGTGTCGTCACCTCCTGAATGCGCTGGAATTTCCACAGTTCCTGGGGGTTCGCCGTCCTTTCGGTTTCCAGTCTCCTATAAGAAGGGTGAAAGCCCAGAGGTTCAGCATCAGACGGCAAAGGGTTTGAAGGAGTCCAAGTCCTGCAGCTCTTCCCCACCCGACAGCAACATGAAGGTCTCAGTGGCTGCCCTCACCGTTCTCCTCATCGCTGCCTTCTGCTCCCTGGCCTCCTCCGCACCAAGTAAGTTCTGTGTCTGTCTTCTCAGAGCCACTTTGGCCGTGTAGCGAAGGAGGAAGATCCCAATTAGCTCTGCGCTAGCCAGCCATGGCATGTTGGTGCTGTCACGCTGCTGTGCTTTCCTGGGGCGCTTCGGAGTGATGCAGGCGAGTTGTCTCTCTCCGGTAAAAGGCACATCTCTGCAGTGAGATGCACGCCGCAGACAATGTGGGAGAGGGGCTGGTTGGCTTAGGGGCTTCCATCCCTAGGTTACCGGTTCAAATGCAGCCTCTACAGGACGTGACCAAAAGTCCTGCCCATCTGTTGGCTGTCTGGTGAGCCAGGTGAAATGCATCTGTGGTCTCACTCCTTAGAGATCAAGGGCCCACATCACCAAAACTACCCTTGCGATGGGCATCATTTGGTACCCTGGCTGATGAGCCTAGCAGAGAGGCCAAGGGCCGAGTGGGGCATGGGTATTCCGCTCACCCGCCAAGGGATTGTCCAAGTCACGGTGGGCTGACAGAAGCTGGCTGCATCTGGCCTGTGAATAAACTGGCACTAAGGACCCAGTCCTGCCAGATACTGAGCATCCTCAGAGCAGATTAACTCAGCGGGCTCAGAGAGCCCCTGGGCAAGGCTGCAAGAGGTGGTGTGGCTAGTGATTAGCTCATGGGATTGTGAGCCCTTTCCTAACTTCAGGTCCCGACTCTGCCAGGGCCCTGTGCTGTGGCTGTAGACAGGTCTCCTCCACTCTGTCCCTCAATGATCCCGTCTGTGAAATGAGGATTGTAAATAATTCGCTGTCTGCAGATCACTGCGTACACACTAACCCTCAACCATCGTCATATCTTGGCACCACTGAAATCCCAGACTGATTTAAAAACCCCGCTAATGCAAACCTCTCCCATGGGACTTCTCTGGAGAACCAGGCAAGGTTTTCCCTGACACCGGTTTGAACTCATTTCTGTCTCTTGCAGTTGGCTCTGACCCCCCGACTGCCTGCTGCTTCTCCTACACAGCCTGGCAGATCCCCCGCAACTTCGTGAAGGATTATTACAGCACCAGCAGCATGTGCTCCCAGCCGGGCACAGTGTAAGTGCTGAGGCGCCCCCCTGCTTTTCATACATCGGTATATTGCACTGACATGGGTTGGAGCGACCGCCTGCGGCCGGGCAACACACAGGCTGGGGCCTCCATTTCCTGGTATAGAGAAGGACAGGCAGATACTGGGGGAACGTAGCTGGGGCTCCAACACTTACAGGCCATTGCAGCAGCTCAGACAGTACCGAGTTGGACAGCACGGTGGGGGAATGGGGGGCTCAGGGAAATAATCTATGAGAATTTAAGCCCTGCACTCAAAGCATAATGGTGTGAGGTGAGGCCAGGCTGGAGGCTGGGAGAGGAAAGATCTCAGGAGGGCACCAGTGTGTGGAACAGGCAGCCATCCGGCAGCCTCGGGACCATGAAGGGCTGATGGAGACTCCTTCAGGGAGCGAGAACAGACCTGATAGGGATGAGGAAGCAGCTGACACTTGCGAGGGGTGGGCACTTGCGAGAAATATCCCCTCCTTTCCTCTGACTCTGTCCGTCTCTTTCCCTCCCCCCAGGTTCATCACGAAGAAGGGCCGTGAACTCTGTGCCAACCCCAGTGAATCCTGGGTTCAAGAGTACATGAATGACTTGGAACTGAACTGAGCGGAGCAGGGGCCAGACTGGGCAATGGGCCGCCCCCAGCAGTGGGAGTGTAAATCCTCAAAGGACAGGGTGACGACATCATTTTCTGCCAAGGAACAGGAGCTGAATTTGCCCCAAATCCTGATAAAACCAAGAATTTGTAAATATCATGTACAGCTATTTAAAATCCTGGATCAGTGAAAAATGTACTAATTATACTGTTAATTATGTTATTTATAGAATCCTTGCTGTGAACTGTGGGGGCAAGCCGCTGGGCCGGCTCTCTTCACATCACAGACGCACAGAAGATTGTTTAATTTTAGCCCTGGCTGTGTCTGCTGTACGCTGAGCAGTGGCTGGGGTGTTTTTGGCAGAAAACGAAACACTGCCTTTATAGAATAAATATTTTTATATCAACCCCTTGGTTCTGTTTTAAGGTGAGTTCTGGCACTTTTCCTGAATAGCACTCATGTCACAAATCCAACACTCACCCATCCCTGGAAGGAAATAGCCACCTCCGGGCAAACACCGAGCTGTCAAGTCCCCACACACAAACATACCAGCGTACATACCTCACCATCCCTGCACACACACACTCATGTGACGGCCTGGGCTGTACGGGGGTCAGGCTGAATGATCTGTAGGGCCTTCTGGCCTTAAACTCAGCGAATCTGCTTAAACTTCGTCAGCTAGGTGTTGTGTTTCACAAAACTAATAACAGGAGGGTTTGAATCCAGGTTACACTTTTTCTGTGAAACACACGCACACATATACACCAGTACACTCCTCAGTGGCATACCTCTACGCACCCCGCCCCCATCCCTGAACAGAAATACAACTCACATACACACAGCTATTTACACCTCCCCCGCTCTCCACAACCCACCATACCCCCCCACAGAGGCACATGCACCCCCAGCCCTGCATACACAGGTTCACCCACAAAGATGCACTGATGGACCTTGGCGCACCCCACGCGCTCGGCTGTACGCACACATTCACTCCCAGAGACATGCCTGCATACAGATGCAACAGCTCCCAGACACAGCCACGTGCGTACACACACGGCCTCCAGATACACATCTGCACTCACACACAGGTGTACACACACTAACACTATACAGCAAATAGGCACTGCAAAATGCCTAGTAGGTCAGGCATTAAGTCCGTCCCTGGAGGCACTGAAGGATTGTTCACTATATTTCATTCCCTGCAGCCTTGTCCAATGCAGTTTTAAACGTCCCAAGGGAGGGGGCTTGGACTGCCCGTGGGTCCCGTCACCCCAGTGCACAGGAACAATTAAGACAGTCCCTTGCTGGGTGGATTTGTGTTGCACCCAGCCAAATGTACAGTCCCATTGTGAGGGGAAAGCAAAGTCTGTGGGGGACAGCCCCAGTCCAGAAGCAATGTCTGACTCCTGGGGAGAAGCTCCAGGGAGCCTAAAACCGGGAGGTGCAAGGGAGAATATAAATGTCAAAGTACCAAGCCTTGTGCATAAAGAGATACAGGAAAATGGGGCAAGGGGAGAGTCTGAGATCTTGAGGGCAGGGGCAGTGTCTCCCTGCATGTGGAGCAGCATACGGCACGACCAGCGGCACTGCCAGGCTACAAGTGGTAATGATGAGCAGACTAAGGCTCCATTCTGCAGTTCTGAAGTCAACAGGAAATCAATGGGAGTTGGACCTTTAAATATATAAAAGTACAGCTTTAGCCAATCTGTGTACTTCCGATCCTCTTATACGGAGCTGACACAGGATATTGCTCAAACAAGACAGCAGGAGGTGGAAGGCAGTGACTACTGGGAGTAAGTTGGTTTGATTTTATCACTAATAGGGATGTATTATTGAGAACTAGCCTTGAGAGAACAGAAGTCAGCACTGGCCACCAACGGCTGACAATCTTTTGTCATATAGCCCGTCTCAGAGACAAAGTCCCTGAACATTGAGCCCTGACGATCACACTTGAGGTCATGGGCTGAGAGCGGCCATATGCTCACCCACAATTAACCTGGCTGCCCCAGGTTAGCAATAACCCCACGGAGCTTCTAGAGGCCTGGAATAAAGCCCTACAATGTGGACATGGACACTCAGCGCTATGGAGCTTCACTGTCCAAGCATGTTGTTGTTGTTGGACCCCTAAAAACTTTTAAAGATCTGGGCCTCAGTTTCTCTGTGGCGCTGTGGGAATAATAGCCCTGTCCTGCCTCAAGGGGGCGTTGGGAGGAGGAATACACTAAAGACTGGGCAATGCTCAGATCTGGTGGGATTAGGGACTGAAGGGAGCGATGGTGGAAAGGGTCACATTTTAGCTCATGGTACAAACTCAAAGGCTCATCGGAAAAACTTTGGATTTTACAAAAAATATATTTTAAAACACAAAACTCAGAAATCAGGGAAGATCAGCGCCCTGCTTCAGCGCTTTATCCCCATGACTAGCCTCCCTCAGCTACCCGCCCCCGGATGGGCAGGGTTGAAATGTGTCTGGAATAACAGGAATTGGGTGCCCAAAGCAGGGAAGGGCAGAGTGGGGAGTGTGAAGGCCACAGCCGGGGGCTGGTTCTGGTAGGGTGCTGTGAGTGGAACCAGGAGGGAGCTGAGCAGGACTGGATCTGAGGTCATGGGGCTGTGTGCGTGTGTGCCACTCTCTGAGCTGGCACAAGGAGGAAGCCGCTCCCCCCGTGCAAGTTTCAACATGGCCAGATAACGTTAAAGTCACCACAGAGTGACTGAGAGCTTCCTCCTGAGCTCAGACCTGGCCTCTGTGTGTAAAGGGGCCTCTGAATCCAGGGGCAGGACTTCCTCTTATCAGTGGAGAGCTCCTGGACCCTGGAGGCTGGTTAATCCTTGGGAATGAAGGAAATCCCACCTGGGGACTGGGGGAGAGAGTCACAGAATCATAGAAGGGTAGGACTGGAAGGGACCTCAAGAGGTCGTCTAGTCCAGTCCCCTGCATTGAGGCAGGACTCAGTATTATTTTAGATCATCCCTGAGAGGTGTTGGTCTAACCTCCTCTTAAAAATCTCCAATGACGGAGGTTCCACAGCCTTCCTAGGCAAAGTGCTTACTTACCCTGACAGGAAGTTTTTCCTAGTGTCCAACCTAAGTCTCCCTTGCTCCAATGTAAGCCCATTGCTTCTAGTCCTGTCCTCAGAGGTTAAAGAGAACAATTTATCACCCTCCTCCTTGTAACAACCTTTTGTGTACTTTCATGTCCCCTCTCAGCCTTCTCTTCTCCAACCCAATTTTTTCAGGCTTCCCTCACAGCTCACATTTTCTAGCCCTTCCATCACTTGTTGCTCTCCTCTGGACTTTCTCCAACTTCTCCACATCTTTCCTTGCCAGATCCCTGGCAGGCAGAGCCAAACAGGGACCCTTGCAGACCCTAAGTCCTGATTCCCCTTGCCTGGAACCAACTGCAACCTACCACCTGGCCCCATGGCTCCAACAACAGGGCCTGCGGGCAGGGAGTTGCAGGGCCAGGGCACCCACAGCAGAGCGGGAGTCTCCCACTGACTAGCAGCTGTTGGGAGTCTTGCTTAAGAAGGGGAGGAGGTGACCGAATGAGGAGCAGAGATGGGAACTAGCCTCATCTGCACCCCACTCTGCCATGCAGCGTGCCGGGGAGGGCTGCACTTACGTCGCTGCCCTAGAGCTAATGGCCAGAAAAGTTCAAGTCCACGTTGCATTTCATGCTGGCTGGAACAAATTATCGTCAGCATGTCACTGCAGGACGCAATGACTAGGCAGTGTCAGCCTCTCCCCAAACCTCAGGGGATGCTGCAGGGTGAAAATACATGAGCTTCCACTGTTATGAACAGAGCTCATGAGGACAAAGCCAGTCTGTAGCCCCAGGGCTCAGCAATCAAATATCCCCACAAGTTACGACGTGTTCCATTCTTTTGGTGGAAAAATGACCTTTTCAACTAAACAGAAATTCACCAGAAAAAATCCATTTTCACTGAGAATTTTTGTGGGAGTTGCAGATAAACCAAACCCCCAAACGTGGCAACAGAAATCCAACCTTTTCCAGTTTTCAGGTTTTTTGACCAAATCCCAGTCGTTTTCATGGAGCAGTTTCAACAACTGGGGAGAGGTTGGGGGGGGGGGTGGAGAATATCATAGAATCATAGAATATCAGGGTTGGAAGGGACCTCAGGAGGTCATCTAGTCCAACCCTCTGCTCAAAGCAGGACCAATCCCCAATTTTTGCCCCAGACCCCTAAATGGCCCCCTCAAGGATTGAACTCACAACCCTGGGTTTAGCAGGCCAATGCTCAAACCACTGAGCTATCCCTCCCCCCTAGGGAAGCCATTTCCTGCAGTTTTTCCTGGGGGAAAAATGTCATTTCCTGCCCAGCCCTAGTGTGTGAGCACCCCGGTGTGAGTCACACCCGCCAAAATCAGACTTATCAGGGGCTCAGCCCTGCACCATCATATCATAGGATCATAGAATATGAGGGTTGGAAGGGACCTCAGGAGGGCATCTAGTCCAACCCCCTGCTCAAAGCAGGACCAATCCCCAACTAAATCATCCCAGCCAGGGCTTTGTCGAGCCTGACCTTAGAATCCTCTAAGAAAGGAGATTCCACCACCTCCCTAGGTAATCATAGACCAGGGGTTCTCAAACTTCATTGCATCATGACCCCATTCTGATAACTAAAATTACTACATGACCTCAGGCAGGGGGACTGAAGTCTGAGCCCACCCAAGATCTGCTGCCCCAGGAAGGGGGGCCAAAGCTGAAGCCCAGGCCCCACTGCCCCAGGCAGGGGGCCTGTAACCTAAACCCTGCCGCTCAGTGGGACTCGGGCTTCAGCTTTGACCCTGGGCCCCAACAAGTCTAACACCAGCCCTGGCAACCCCATTAAAATGGAGTCACAACCCACAGTTTGAGAACTGCAGTCATAGACAATGGCAAAACACCCTGCCACAGGGTGGCCTGCCCTTTGGGGTGTGTCTACACAGGAAGCAGTGATTCTCTGAGCCCGGGCTAACAGACTCAGGCAAGTGGGGCCCAGGCTAAGCCCACCCCCACCCCTTGGCTTTAGAGCCCGGGCTCCGGCTCCAGCCCCAGCTGCAGCATCTACACTAGCCCAACCCCAAGCCCAAGCCTGTTGACCCGGCTCTGAGATTCACTGTATCCTTAAAGGGTCAGGACGGCTGGGGCTGGCCTGCCCCTTTCAATCATATGTGCCTGCACCAGAATGAGCGGCCTCCCATCATAAAGGGGCTAGACTAATTGGGGTCAGGAGAGAGCCTGAAACAGCTGGGCCTAGTAAAAGGGCAAAGAGCCCCACGTGGCGAGGAACCACAGAGAGCAAATTGGGTTCCTGGGGCAGGTTGTGAAGGAGGGTCTGGAAGGACTCCAGGGAAGCAGCCCGGAGCCAGGGCTCTGTCGTAAAGGACAGATTTAAAGGTAGCCCAGAAGGGGCTGGCAACTGAGCCTAGACGGGCACCTAACAGGGAGAGAAGAAACTTTTGGTTTTTTAGACATTTTTTTTTACCCTGGGAATGGGTTACGTTTTTAGTCAGTGACTTCGCAAGAGACCTGAGCCACATGAACGTCTGGGAGAGACAGAAAATTCCAGCGAGGAGAAATGAAGCCAGGGAGCCCCTGCAGTGCCACTCTTGGCCAGCAGCAGGTGCTGTGGGGCAGGTACCGCTGTGACGCCCCCATTGACACATTCATAGAGGGTCAGGCCTCGCTTGACCTTTCATCAGACAATAAGCCTGCGAGCAGCTCAGGTGCCAGCCTTGCCACCCGAACCCCTGAAATAACATGGACCCTCTGTTATCATGAACAGTGACCCTGGCCTTCTGCCCATCGAAAATCTTCTTGAAATACACTCAGCCTAATTCTGCTTTCATTTACACTGGTACAAATCCAGAGTCACTCCAGTGAGGTCAGTGACGTTACTCCAGATTTATACTAGTGTGAGTGACAGTAGAATCTGACTTTTTTTGCCTCATGTGGTTCTTTCACAGAGTTCTGTTTTTGAATGGCTTTACGGGAGCTATTTCTGCTGTTGGGATGCAAGACATTTCTTATTAATAGTAAAAATCTCGTTTGTATTTTAGTTCACCCGGGAACTTTAGGAAATGAGGGGTTTGTCGAGGTTTGGAGGAAGCGGATGTGGATTCAGGGTGGAGAGAGAAAGCGATGCAGTAATTGGAGGTGAGTGTGGAGAAAGCCCCTTCTTCAGCAAGCATGGTGAGGTCACGGTCCCATGAGTAAGGGGTGGAATAAATCAGTAAATGGAGTGTCACTCTGGATTAAGAGTGGAGTCAAGGCAAGTGCATATCAGTGTGTCAGTGAAGGGGGAGTCAGTGAAGGGGGAGTATCAGAGAAGTATGTGATGGGAGTTGTTAGTGTGTGTCGCTCTGGGGGGCTGATGTAATTTTATCACTTTCAAAGCATTTTAGAAGGGTGGGCAGCATCACCCCCATTTTACAGATAGGGAAACCGAGGCAGAGAGCAGGGAAGTGACATGTGCAAGATGAACTGGTCAGAAATAGAGCCAAGGTTGCTCACCACCAGGATTCATCTCCCATCCCTGGACAACACGCACTCATCTCAGCTGCTCTGCAGGAGGGGGTGAGCAAATCCCTAGCTGTGTCTCTCCGGGTGTACGCAGCGAGGGACCGCAAGGGGGGGCTGAGGTGTGTCCAAGGCATTAAGGCGCATGCAGGGCTGAGTGGATCCATGCAGCATGTATATGTGCGCGCCTACATGCGCTGGCTCTGTGCCCAGAAACAACAGGCCACAGCTGATAGAAGTGGCAAATGGAACAAGAAGCCTCCTTCTCCTTCTCCAGGGCATTTAAACAACCTGGTTCCTATCCAGCTTCAGGGCTCTGTAAAGTGTCTCTACAGGAAGGGAAAATACTCAGTTCAGCTCCTTGGGGCAGCGGCTGTGTCTCCCTTGGGCAGGCTGGGTAACTCCCCTGCTCCCGGGGAGATTCCCCACACACACACACACAGGTCTTCCCCAACTCTGAACTCCCCACCTTACCCTCTACAAGAGGAAACAGTCCTGCCCTTCCCCCGCTTCCCCCCACCCCCCCCAGCTCATTTCCTCACTGCAGTCTCTGCAAACCTGGTGCTGTCCTCAGCTCAGGGTAAGAGATTTAACCCTTTGTCCTCCTAGTTTATGGGGGGAACTATATGCCCCATCACTATTCTTGTTTCCTGCATGTACATAATGGGCAGCTGGGTGTGTGCGTTGTAGATAGGGCATGCAGAGGTGGATGCTCTGGATGTAGATGTGCGTGAGGGATAGGTCTGAGCTGTGAACTGCAAACAGGGCCAAATTATCCCCTGACTCTGGTGATGCTGAGCTGGTAGGGTTTGTTCCAGATCCTCTCCTAGTGAGACAGGCAGGCACAGTGGTCAGATTATGTTTCTAGGCCTAGAGATCCTTCCAGTCGGGAATTACATTAAGGAAAAAACCAGGGTGTTTTTCTACAAAACATTTTATTTTCCAAAATCATCACTCTACCCAATCCCTGGTCGTCGCCTAATATTACAGCACAAAGAACCCAACACATTCAACAGCCTGGCGTGTTTTTGTATCAGTCCCTGCGATGCACGGGGAGTCATGTAACCCACCTGCATGCATTCCATAAATAATATAATTAGCAATACAACGAATGTGGTCCCAGCTGCACGTCTTAAATAGCTTCACATGATATGTTAAAAGTCCAGCGTTTGTCAGTTGTTTGAAAAGTGGGTTGGTAGCAGCATCCTGGCGTGTGTCAGCAGAAGTGAGGTGAGATCCTTCCGGGGCCCTTTGAACTCTGTCCTTAGGTGACCAGGTCTCAGGGTCAGGAATCGCCTGTTTGTCCCATGTGACAGCACCTTGTACAATGGGGCTGTGAAGTGCTACCGTAATACATGTAATAAATAGGAATAATTCTCTGTCCCCAGCTCTGCTCAGTTCAGATCCAGGTGGGTCACATAGGCTTGGACCCAGGAGTTGCTGGGGTTGGCACAGAGGGCCCGGCCTTTCTTCGTAATAAACCTGTGGGACAGGAAGGAGATGGGTTAGAGTGAGAGAAACGTTGTGTCTCTCCCCCACCCTCCCGGGTCGCCCCACTTCCAGAGCTCAGTGCAGCCAGTCAGTTCTGTCCTGTCCCTGAAGGATCCTCCACCAGAACCTGATGCTGGTCTGGGCCACCTGGCCTGCCCCTCCTCCCATTCAGCTGCCTGTTCTACATATTAAAGCCTTCTGTGGGCTGCCCTCCCCCAGCCTCACTTCCTGCCCCACCTCCACACCCCATTACCCCCAGGGGTGAGCAGGTCCCACCCCAGGACCCTAGAGGAGCCAGGGGCAATCCCTTCTAGGTGGCCTTTTCTTCAGGCTGCGAATACTTGGCTCTCAGAGTCTGTGCTGGTGCAGTGGGCTCTCTAGTCATTGACCTCAGGCCTTTGACACCTGAATTTGCCTCATGCTAGCAACCAGAAGCAGCAGCCAGACACCAAGGTACGTCTACACTGGAATAAAACACCCATGGCTGGCCTGGGTCAGCTGACTCAGGCTCAGGTTGTGGGGCTAAACATTGCCATGTAGACATTCAGGCTTGGGCTGAAACCCAGGCTCTGGGATCCTCCCGCCTTGCAGAATCCCAGAGCTCGGGCTCTACCCCGAGCCTGAATGTCTACACCGCAATTTTACCAGCCCCACAGCTGAGACCCGCAAACCCAAGTCAGCTGACGCGGACCAGCCGCGGGTGTTTAACTGCCGTGTAGACGTAAAGCAAGGGTTCTCAGGCTTAACTGCACTGCGACCCCTTCTCACAACAAAAATTACTACATGACCCTGGAGGGACCGAAGCCTGAGCCTGCCCTAATCCCGCCAAAGCCCGAGCCCCGCTGCGCTGGATGGGGGTCGGGGGGTCAAAGCCAAACCCCAAGGACTTCAACCTGAGGCAGAGGGCCTGTAACCTGACCCCTGCCACCCAGGGCTGAAGCCCTTGGACTTCGGTCCTGGGTAGTGAGGCTCAGGCTTTGGCCCCAGGCCCCAGCAAGTCTAAGCCAACCCTGGCCACCCCATTAAAATAGGATCACAACCCACTTTGGGGTCCCGACCCACAGTCTGAGAACTGCTGACATAGAGCAAACTATTCCATTGCAGTGCTTGAATACACTGTAATGCTTGCAACACGAGCAGGTATTGAAGCAGAAGCTGTCTTTGCACATCGGCTCACTGCCTGTCTCTGGCGTCGGGAGTTTGCACTTACACTATAGCAGGTAAGGAGCACTTGCTGCTGGTGTCATAGTAATCCACCACCATGCTGCGCGGGATCTGGCGGGCCGTGTGGGAGAAGCAGCAGGAGATGGGCATGTCCGATCCCACTGAAAGATGGAAACAGACAGCGTGAGCGTGCCTTGAATTCCATGCAAGGGAAAATAACACCCGTTATCAGGGGAAGGGTTCCTCCCCCCCGTCTCCCATCCAAAGAGCAATAAATAGGCTTCCTTCAGAAATGGACACTTTCAGAGAGAGAAGCTGGACTCACGTGGGGCAGAGGAGGCCAGGGAGCAGAAGGCAGCGCTGGTGAGAACGGCGAGGGCAGCCACGCAGACCTTCATGTTGCTGTGGAGAGAGGCTGAGCGGAGCTGGGCCAGGGGCGACGGCACACACCAGCTGTGACACTGAGAGGCTAGTCTCCTCTCCCTTTATAGGGAATTCCAGAGGCAGAGAGACAAAACGAAGCAGAATGGAATTTCCAGAGCGGATGTCACAGCATGAGCTGTATGAGTTTGCAGCCAAATCTCAGGAATTAATAACAAGTGAGGGGCTGAGCGTGCCAAGCTCTTACTCAGCACGTTTATTTCATACCATCAGGCCCCAAGGAAAACAGAACGGTGCCTGTAAGTCACATGGGGTGGGGAGGATTTATCCATTGGGACAAAGAGAGGGACTTTTCCCTGGCCATGCAAGTTGTGCAAGTCTGGACAAATAGGAGGCATCTGGGATATACTGCTTCTCTCATGAGCCAGAGCGTCGTATGAATGAGAGATTAAGAGCGGGTGGGGAAGAGGTGCCCTAGGTGTGCCATCTGCAGATCCCTCCGCCCTAGGACGATCCTGCCAGAATCGTGGCTTCTCAGGATCTAGGGCCACTCTGCCAAGCTGCCGGAACACAGTCGTGGACGGGGTTTTGTTCTTCATACGACACTCAATGGCTTTGTTTTGATTCAGTGTCTGTAGTCACTGGAGTCAGGCAAGCAGGATTTAGTCCCGGATGCAAGATCAGAAAGTGTTGGCAAGTAAAATCAGATGTTAATCCACGGGGGAGTGTGTGTTACAGGTCCCTGTCTGCCAATCTGCAGAGGATGGGAGTTGTGACACACACACCCCATTACCGTGTGTGGGTTTGTTAGCTCAAGCTGTAGCAGTATGTGCTTTTAGCTCTGGAGGTCCCCAGGTCAGCCCTCGGTGTGTTGAAGATGGCAGCTGTCACACAGGTGAGAAACCCTTAACCACATTTAATACGCTAGGAGGGAGAGACAGATTCACCCCCCTGCCCTTTGGTATCCATTCCAACAGGAGGTCATTCCAGCCAAGAAGAAATTGGTGACACAGGCTTCGTGGGGCTGTAGCTACGTCGGATGATATGTTAGAAACACTGGACTACGGTCTGATCTGATAGACCAGGGGTGGCCAACCCGTGGCTCCGGAGCTGCATGCGGCTCTTCAGAGGTTACTATGCGGCTCCTTGTACAGGCTCCGACTCCGGGGCTGGAGTGACAGGCGCCAACTTTCCAGTGTGCTGGGGGGGGGGGCTCACTGCTCTGCCCCTGGCTCTGCCCCAGGCCCTGCCCCCACTCCACCCCTTCCAGCCCCCTCCCCTGAGCCTGCCGTGCCCTCGCTTTTCCCCCCTCCTCCCCCAGAGCCTCCTGCGCACATGAAACAGCTGATTGCTGGGGGAGCGGGGAGGGAGGAGTTGGTGCTGGTTGGTGGGGGCTGCCGGCAGGCGGAGGGCGCTGCGGGGGGGGTGGGGGCTGCTGACATATTGCTATGGCTCTTTGGCCATGTACATTGGTAAATTCTGGCTCCTTCTCAGACTCAGGTTGGCCACCCCTGTACTAGAGCAATTCCTGTGTTGCTAATATATCAATATATCAATCAGACCCAGCCAATCTCCTGCCTTCAACAGCGGCCAGTACCAGCTGCTTCAGAAAGTGCAAGAAATCCACAGTGGAAGGTAAGGAGATAATCTGCCCCCAGCTACAGATTGGTTTGTGCCTTGAAGCAGGAGGGGTTAGATCCCTTCCAAACTCATGGACTCCAAGGCCGGAAGGGACCACTGTGATCATCTAGTCTGACCTCATGTAGAGCACAGGCCAGAGATCTGCCCCTAAATAATTCCTGGAACAGCGCTTATAGAAAATCATCCCATCTTGATTTAAAAATTGTCACTGATGGAGACTCCACCACGACCCTTGGTCAATTGTTCTAATGATTAATTACTCTCACCATTAAAATGTACACCTTATTTTCAGTTGGAATATGTCTAGCTTCAACTTCCAGCCATTGGACAGTGTTAGACCTCTCTCTACTGGATTGAACAGCCATTATTAAATATTGGTTCCCCAGGTAGTTACAGACTGTGATCAGGTCACCCCTTAACCTTCTCTTTTTGTTAAAGTGAAGAGATTGAACTCCTTGAATCTCTCACTATAAGGCAGGTTTTCTAATCCTTTAATCATTCTCATGGGTCTTCTCTGATCCCTCTCCAATTTATCAGCATCCTTCTTGAATTGTGGGCACCAGAACTGGGCACAGTATGCCAGCAGTGGTCACACCAGTGCCGAATACAGAGGTAAAACAACCTCTGTACTGCTACTTGAGAGTCCCCTGTTTATGCATCCCAGGACCACATTCGCTCTTTTCGACACTCACACTCTGCTGATTATCCACCATGACCTCCAAATCTTTTTCAGAGTCACTGCTTCCCAGGATAGAGTCTCCCACCCTGTAAGGATGCCCTGCATTCTTTGTTCCTAGATGTGCACATTTACATTTGCTATATTAAAACACACATTGTTTGCTTGCACCCAATTTAGCAAGCGATCCAGATAGCTCTGAATCAGTGACCTGTATTCTTCATTATTTACCACTCCCCCAATTTTTGTGTCATCTGCAAACCTTCAGTGATGATTTTATATTTTCCTCCAGGTCACTGATAAAAATGTTAAATAGCACAGGGCCAAGAACTGATCCCTGCAGGGCCCCACTGGAAACAGGCCTGTTTGACAGTTTCATTTTGAGCCCTATCAGTTAGCCAGTTTTTACTCGATTTAATGTGTGCCGTGTTAATTTTATATTCTAGTTTTTTAATCAAAATGTCATACAGTACCAAGTCAAATGCCTTACAGAAATCTAAGTATATTATGGCAACACTCTTACCTTTATCTACTAAACTTCTAATCACATCAAAAAAAGATATCAGATTAGGTTGACAGCATCTATTTTCAGTAAATCCATGTTAATTTTCACTACTTACATTACCCTCTTTTAGTCATCCTGTTTACAGAGGTTCTGGAACAATTTTTATAGGGGGGTGCTGAGAGCCATTGAACCAAGCTGTATATCCTGTATATAATGGAAACCACCCCCAGCACCCCTAGTTCCAGCACCTATGCCTGTTTACGCTTTTTAAAAATTGGTACAACATTAGCTTTCTTCCAGTCTTCTGGACCTTCCCCAGTGCTCCAAGACTTACTGAAAATCAACATTAATGGTCCAGTGAGCTCCTCTGCCAGCTCTTTTACAACTCTTGAATGAAAGTTATCTGGATCTGCTGATTTAAAATGTCTGACTTTTGTTTGTTTCTTTCCTATTTATTGTTATAACTCCAGATATTGGTGTTTGGCATCATGTTCCTGGATGGTCGCTGCAATCTACAAGCCATACTCCAAGGAGCTAAGGGAGAAAAGGGTCAAGTTCTATCTGGACAAAGCCAATGTTAGACCAATCGAAACAAAGGGTTTTGGTCACGCCCCCTCAGCTGACAATATAAAGCTCAAGCCTGCAAAAGTAGCAGCAGTTGCTGAAATGAGGTCACTAGAGAATGATGCTAAGCTGGAGAAGTCATCAGGATGGGGATTTACCTTGCCAGGTTTGTACCATGCCTTTCCGAAGTCTTGACATGACTAAAAGATCGCCTAAAGAAAGACTGTGTTCCACTGGGTTGCCCAGTGAGATTCTGTCTTCACCAGAGTGAACCATCTCATCTCCAGTGCAAGCTCGTTTGCACGCTGTGGTATAAATGAAGAAGTGGATGCATTTGTGGAAGTAGATAAAGGGAATTTGGATGCAGGCCTCTATATTGAGCAGGAGTCAGGCTAACTCTAGCTTTAATAACCCGAGATTTGTAGAAGCAGGGATAGTGCGAAGCGAGTGGAAAACAATTGTGAAAGAGGTGGTGTGACCTTGTATGAGATAAGAAGAGAATGCCGACGACAAGAGAAATGGTAAGAAAAATAAGAGATCATGAAGGAATATGTATAACCAATATGCAGCTGTTGCTTATTATTGTCTGTAATAAAGGTATAAATACTTGCTCTAATTGTTTATCTTGGAGAGACCTGCCTAGGTGGGGGAAACCCTGTGTCCTAGGGCACTCTCTCCCTCTGTGCAATTGCTTGAGATAATAAAGTGTATCTGACTTGCTGCACCCAACCTGAGAGCGAGACCTGTGTTTTTCTCCGACACATCTAAATGAGGGCTTGGGGATTCCATACATCCAAGGAAATAAATTGTGCACAGCTCAAAAAGGAGAGCCCTGCCCATTGTCTGGCTATGGGTTACGCTTACAGCCCATATGTGCATGGGAGAAACCTGACCTCTTTGCAGACAGTCATAACAAAACTCCTTGCTGGAGCACCACCAAGGCGACAAAGAAAGAAGCTGTGGCTGCAGAAATACAATACGGTGGTTAAACACAGGCTAGATGACAGTTTTATTCAAGAGGGGCCTTACAGTGCCTTTGACCAAAGCGTATGGCCCAGGGAGAAACCAGAAGATGGTGGTAATCCTTCCGGTATGCTATCCATGTTAGCTATGTTGTAAAACAGCTTGATTAATGCAATTCAACCCTGAACAACCAGGTTCTGAAATATTTAGTAGAGGAGGGGGAAATGGAATTCATATTACAAATGAATTTGATCTGATTTCTTTTTCTTTCCTTTCAGAAAGGATGTGACATTATTAGTGATATTGCAGATGGTTTTGCCTAATTGTGTGTATCAGCATAAACCAGTTAGCGCTTGGAGAAATGCTTATTGTCAACTCCGGTGCAGTTCTCTTTAGGATCTTAGCATATCACCAGTAAAGTTGGTACCCTTCCTGTATCCCTCTGAGGCCTGGTCTACCGCTAAAGATTAGATCCACCTCGCTGTGTTGCTCAGGACTGTGAAAAATTTCGCACTCTGAGTGCCCAAGTTAGGTCAACCCAACCCTAGTGTAGACTCAGCTCGATGGATAGAAAAATTCCTCCATCAACCTGTTACCTCCTCTCAGAGAGGTGGATTAACTACACCGGCGGAACAAAACCTTCAGCTGATGTCAGAAGCAGCGTAGTTGCAATGCTGCAACTGGGCCACGGTCGTGCTTGCAGTATAGACATGGTGAGACTCAAAATCGTTCTTCTAGGTGTAGCTGTTGCCTCTGGGCCCCGATGTGTAACATTATTAATAATGATTCTCAGCTCTTCTATAGCACCCTTCATCAGTCGGGCTCAAAGTGCTTTACAAAGGAAATAAGTAGTGTTATCTGGGGAAACTGAGGCACAGGGCGATGAAGGGACTAGCTCAAGGTCACCCAGCAGGGCTGTGGCCAAGCCAGGAATAGAATCATAAAACTATAAGGATGGAAGGGACCTCAAGAGGTCACCTAGGACCAGGTATCCCGAGACCATCCCTGACAGGTGTTTGTCTAACCTGTTCTTAAAAACCTCCAGTGACAGGGATTCCACAACCTCCCTTGGAAGCCTCCCAGAGCTTCACGACCCTGAGGGTTAGAAAGGATTTTTCCCCCAATATCTAATGCAGATCTCCCTTGCTGATGATTAAGCCTGTTGCCTCTTGTGCAACCCTCTGTAGACATGGAGAATAGTTGATCACTGTCCTCTTTGTAACAGTCCTTCACGCATCTGAAGACTGTTACAAATTCCCCCTCCGGCTCCTTTTTGTGAGACTAGACGTGCCCAGCTTTTTTTAACCTTTCCTCACAGGGCAAGTTTTCTAAACCTTTTATTATTTTGGTTAATCTCCTGTGGACTCTGTCCAGTTTGTCCACATCTTTCTTAAAGTGTAGTGCCCAAAACCGGACCCAGTGCTCCAGCTGAGGCCTCACCAATGCCAAGCAGAGTGGGTCAATTACCTCCCGTGTCTTAGGTATGACACTCCTGTTCATACACCCCGGAATATTTGCCTTTTTCCGACAGCATCACATTGTTTGCTCCGGTTCAATTTGTGA